TTTGTAGAGACAAGGTCTCACTTTTACTCAGGCTGGTCTCAGACTCCTAACCTCAAGTGATCCTCCCACCTCCACTTCCAAAGTGCTAGGTTTACAGGCATGCGCCACTGTACCTGGCGTTTGCATGAATTTAAACTCCTCCCTCAAGGTACCTGTGGTTGGACACTTAATCTAAAAGTCAAAAACAAAGCCTCTTTTCCATTTTTGCATTAACAGTGTTTCTGGTTAGTGGCTCTCCTAACCAGAGTGAAGTGCAGGCCAGATGGTGTCTAGGAACGTGAGAAGGCTATGTTCAGAAAGTCTTCTGCCCTGCCACCCTTTCCAAATTTGGAGGCTGGAATAATTTAGAAAACTGGACCTTTGCTGGGGTTTTACCCAAAAATAAATTGTCTGAGTTTTGTCCTAGGCCTAGAATTTTAAATTTCCAGGAGAAGGGAGACTGATGGATGCCTGGCACAGAAAGTCGTAGCCTAGGAACACTGAAGTTCCTCGTGGTTACTAATGTGCTTGCTGTGGGCCTTTGTGGGCTTTCCCCTGCCAACATGCACTCCGCTGATCAGCATACAAGTCCTGCCCTGGTCATTTGGCAGGCAGGCTCTGAGGGATGTTTACTACCTTTAGGAAAAAGGGAGTTTATTCCTCACTCACATGGGTGTCCTCCTGCTAGGGTTGGTGTATTATGATTATAGGCATACCAACTAAGTGCTGGAGAAAGTCTGGTAGATGGCATCATTTTAGTGCTCATTCCATGAAAAGCAATAGGTCCAACAGTTACGCTTTTGGAGATTAGCTTATAATGAACTAGAATTCTTTTCATATCATAAGATCTAAAGTCAATCTAGTAACTAAGTAACTTAGAAAAGTTAAGTGGAGGCCGGGCGCGGTGGCTCACGCCTGTAATCCTAGCACTCTGGGAGGCCAAGGCGGACGGATCCTTTGAGCTCAGGAGTTCGAGACCAGCCTGAGCAAGAGCGAGACCCCATCTCTACTAAAAGTAGAAAGAAATTAGCCAAACCACTAAAAAATATATATATATATATAAATTAGCCGGGCGTGGTGGCACATGCCTGTAGTCCCAGCTACTTGGGAGGCTGAGGTAGAAGGATCGCTTGAGCCCAGGAGTTTGAGGTTGCTGTGAGCTAGGCTGATGCCACAGCACTCTAGCCCAGGCAACAGAGCGAGACTCTGTCTCGAAAAAAAAAGAAAAGTTAAATGGAAACAACTAGTTTCTGTGTGTTCAGGGTCAAGACATAAGCAATCTGCCTCTTAGACAGTTGTGAAGATGTTATTTTGAGGGCCCCTTATATCTGTTTGCATGTTTATAGGATGTTTTCCTGAACTGGGACCACTGAGGTTCTGGTAGCAATTATGTAAAAGTCCATGTTTACACCTCTGATTTAAGGTGCTACCTTTATCATATAGTAAATTTCTACAGATACTTGTATTTATTCCGAATAAATTGTACCTTGACTAAAGAGAAAAATAAAACGATGTCCAGAAGACATCCTAGCCAGAGGGAGAGAAAAGAGGCAGTATTGCTGGTTTACATGTAACAAAGACACTAATGATAAAGGAGGGCTGTTTGGGTTTTGTTTTGTTCTTTGTTTTTAAGTTTTAAGAAAAAGAACCAAGGAGAAGCAAAGACATAGATTATCCAAAGGATTGTCCCAAACCAGAAGCATATTGTTGACTGAATCTTAAATGTATTATTTTCCATGTGCAGAACTGATAAAATGCTAGTAAGTCACCACAGGTTTACAAATACCCCCATCTCGTTGTAAACACCACACATACCTGTGAATTGGAGCCTTAAAGACACTTAATAAACAAAAAAAAATGCAGATGGTTATTTATCTGTTATATTTGATCCTCTGAGGCTGTAGAGTAAAACCAATAGAAGTTGGAAAGCTTCCTAACCCCTTTGTAGGATAAAAGATGTTTTCTAAAGAAGGACAATTTCAGAAGCTTTGCTTTGGGAATTTCCATTTGGGATGATCTTGACTCCTTCCCTTCCTCTCCAGCTATTGGGGAACAAAATGTGTTCAAAAAGGAGCTAACATAACCCAGTTTGTGATCATTTATTTTCCAGCAACCATTAGAAGCCAAGTAGTGCTTGCTTGAGAGGCAGTATGCAAAACGGGTGAGGTCCCAGTCTGGGCGTTGGGACTCCTCAGGTGTTATCTTTTCCTTTGCCACTAATTGCTGGGGGCTTGCTGGTGAGCATACATTTTTCCTGCCTGCCAATGGAAACAGCCCCTGCTCCTTCTTTACTAGATCAGCTAGGGTAGAAGTGCTTTCTTTCACTTAGCAAGCCATGTGCTAGACAGTCTCTGTGAAGGACAGAGGAATAGACACAAAGATGAATAGAATAAAGCAGGATTTGGGGCATGAGGAACTCTTAACCAAAGGTGGGGAAGCCAGATGCCTTCAGAAATAGTACAGTGTCATAGTAGAGGTTTGTAGAAGAGACATGGCAACTCCAGTGAGAGAGCAGCCAGCTGCCCTGGCTGTTGGAGATGGTGTTATGGAGGAGGTAATATTTGAGCAGCAGTGAAAGAGCACTGCAGACCACACAGCTTTGTCTTATAGGACAAAGAGACCTTGCAAAGCCATCCTTTGGCCAGCCTATAACCGTCATCTTGGAAGGCCCACTCAGTGGATGAGATTGGAATCATCCAGTGTTACTGGCATTGCTAGAAAATCTAGTTCTGTTCTTGCAAATCTGATTGAGAGAGGGAAGTCTTGTCACTTGTCTGTTTACATAGGAATGCATGAACTGTAAAAGCCTGAAGTTTAGACACTGGAACACGGAAAGAATGGCCTGATTTTTACACCCTCAGTCATTTTTCTGTACTTTGAGGATAGATATATTTTTGATGAGCTCTTATACAGAAGGGGTGATATCCAGGGCCATTCAAGAGCCAGAGTTAAAATCAGACTTTATTACTCACGGCACATGGTCTCCCTTTCTTATGAACACAACGGCAACTAAGCTTCTTAACTTCTGCCCCCAAAAAGGGTTTAATAAGTTTGCTCTAGATCTTTGATGAATTCTTAACAGGATCTAAGATTCCTCAGTGAAACAAGACTCATGTAAAGGCCCAGAGCCCAGAGAAAGTATGATATTCATGAAACTGGAAGAAGGGGATTGGGGTGAGCAATGAAAAATTAGTTAACTCGTGAAGGGCATAGATAGAAGGAGTTAAGACTTCAGTTAAAGATAACAGCACTTAAATTTAACTGGTGCTTTGCAATTAGCAGAGTCTCAGCTGTATTAATAATTTTATCACCTATGTTGGTCCAAAATAAGAGAAAGGGAAGAGCTGGGCATGGTGGCTCATACCTGTAATCTCAGCACTTTGGGCGGGGCTAAGACAGGAGGATTGCTTGAGGCCACTAGTTTGAGACCAGCCAGGGCAACATAGTGAGACCCCATCTCTGCAAAAAAAAAATTTTCTTTTTAATTAGCTGGGTGTTGGTGGTGTGCACCTGTAGTCCAGCTACTTGGGAGGCTAAAGCAGGAGAATCACTTAAGCCCAGGAGTTTGAGGTTGCTGTGAGCTATGATAATGCTATTGCACTCCCATCTGGGTGACAGAGTGAGACCCTGTCTCACAAAAAAGAGAGAAAGGGAAAAGGATTATTAACAGTGTTTTTGTCACATTTTGAAGATCTGACTTTTAAGTACTTCGCAGTCTCTCCCTTTTGAATCTGAAGTGCACTGATAGCAGCCAGCACTTGTAATATTTCACGTTTGGCGTAGTTTTATTTTTAACCATCTGGTTCAGAGGACTACAAAGGTCACACTGCATGGGGCAAACCCCATAGCATAGGTTGCCATTCATCTTATACCCATTTTTCTTCTGGTTGCTTTTGCTTTGTCTTGGCAGGAGTTCAAAGAAGGACGCAGAGCCAGCCACACAGCCCCCCAGGTCCTCTTTAGCCACAGGGAACCTCCTCTGGAGCTGAAAGACACAGATGCCGCCGTAGGTGACAACATTGGCTACATCACCTTTGGTGAGCCAGGAAGCCTTTGCCACTTTTGTGCAGCTTTATTGAGTTGACACTGCAGAATGCCTAAATCTGAACAGAATCTTGGTTAACACTTTAAGATGGGCAAGAGCAGGCATACTAAGTTGTCCCTGTTGCCATTGCTGTAACTGCAGGAAGAGTGTCACAGAGCATTAATTACAGAGCAGGCTATGTGCTATTTTTGTATAGTAATCATTTCCTTTTTCTTTTTTCTCCGTTTTTCTTAAATCTTAAGGAAAAATCTTAAGACTGAACTGTGATGGCAGTAGTTAAGCGTAGAGCCACGTAACCATTGCCACGCAGCTGGACAGGAGTTCTCTGTCATTCAGCATTTCTTGGTTTTTTGCTTATTAAGCCTGAGCTCCAGCCATGATTCCCGTGTTCCAGTTATACCCCGGAGAACTCGAGTCTGCCTGCCTTCAGTTGCTTCAGCCTCCTGAGCTGCCTGATCAGCGTAGCTGACAGTGTGGAGTAGCAGCTCGTTCACCCTCTGCACCTAATGCCACTGGAATGTCTCCTTTTGGGAATTTTATTTAATTCACCTTAGTGCTGAATGTGTGCCTGTTTTTTGGCGATTAATGAGTTGATTTACCGTATTTCATTCAGTCTAAGCTGAACATTCTGACAGACTTAAGTCATAAGCACCTTAGATTCTTTGAAATACAGTTATCGACTACTTGGTGTTCATTTCTTTTCAGGCCAGGGCAAACTGAGCCAGGAATCCCAGCCTTTCTTAGGAGGCATTCCTTTTCAGCAAGGCTTGAGATACCTCAGGGGATTTTGTGATTGGTGAGGCCCATGAGTAGAGGAGGTGGGCAGATAAAGAGGATTCCAGAGCGCCGGGGGAGGAGGGTGCGGGTGTGCTCCAGTGCAAAGGACTGAGCAGCGACTGCGCAGGTCTTCAGGTGGCTGGTCCGCAGGATGGACTTTGCTCCGCCCCAGCCAGAGGAGCTCCTCCTGCCTGGCCTGCCAAGAGGGTTCAGGTCCTTATATCTTAGTGTTTGGTTGTCACAGCGAGAATATGGGATACTCTCTGGCAATCTCGTTTCTGTGAAGACTTACTTTGTATTTTAGCACCAAGGACCCAGGATAGGCAGCCTTATTTCCTAATCTGATTTCTTCGGGTAAACTGTTTCCCAGATAGCCAGTTCACGTCACCGTGGGTCTGCCGAGCTGCAGAGACAAGCCAGTAGGCGTGTGGCAGGTGGGGCTGGTTTCAGCATGCACAGCCCCAGAATCCAGGGCTGAGATGAGTGGCCAGGGTCAAACCCTGGTTTTTCCGTCATGGGCTCTTCTTTTTGTGCTAATGGGGACATGGTTATGCTGTTTATCCTTTCCTTGTCTCGACAAAACCCTAACGGAGCCCAGGAGTGCTGGAACAAGTGGATTGTACTTGAGCTTAAAGAGAGTGAGGTTCACTGTAGGCTGCTATTTTTCCCGGCCCTTTGGCATTTATGTTACACCCTGACACCTTGTCTGTGTCCCCACCCTCAGTGCTGTTCCCTCGCCACACCAATGCCAGCGCTCGAGACAACACCATCAACCTGATCCACACGTTCCGGGACTACCTGCACTACCACATCAAGTGCTCTAAGGTGAGGGTGCCCGCCTCTCAGCTCCTGTGCTCCAAGTCTGTCTTCCCAAAAGAGTTCAGAGCTCCTAACAAAAGTTGTTCCTATAGTTCAGACTGTGGCTCTGACTCTTACGTAGGTAATTCCAGAGGCTTCAAGAAATCATGGTCTTTCTTCATCGACCCACTTTCTCCCATGCCTCCCCATAGCAGAGAGATGAATTTATCTCCAAATTGCTCACCCTCCTGCTTCCCTGCGTGGCCTAGGTCAGTCCCAGGGTGCGCCCAGACTTTCCTGATCACATCTCTTAATGAAAACAAAGCTGTCTTTCTAGAACGTGACTCTGCTTGAGCACCTGTTGTGTTTATTCCCAGGCCTATATTCACACACGGATGCGGGCAAAAACATCTGACTTCCTCAAGGTGCTTAACCGTGCACGCCCAGATGCCGAGAAAAAAGAAATGAAAACAATCACGTAAGTAGGGCAGTGGGCAGTACCATAGCAGGACCACCTACCCCTCCTGAGCTCACCAAGAAGAAAGTAGTGGGTATTGGTGGCCTGGCCCTCCAGGTGTCTGGGCAGATAGACCAAAGATGGGATTAACAGGTTTTTCACTCCTGAATGGGAAGCCATAGTCCCTTTGGCCTGAGTTGAGAGGTTGGTCTTGCCCTTCTCGTGGTCTTCCTGGAGAAATTGAGCAAGTTGCTTTAGGGTATTTAGTTGAGTAAATAAGCCTGGAACCACCTTTCAAGTGTTCTTTTTCTTGGTTCTCTTCTCAGCAGGAAGTTTGCATGGAGAAGAAGGGTCTTTATCAGGGATGGAAATGATGAGTAGAGTTCTAAAGGGTGTGTGGCTCACAGTACCAGAGACACCAGCATGGCCTAGAGCCTAGAGAGTTCTCTCTCTGTGCAAGGTGCTAGTTCTTGGTTCCCCATCCTTCTGGTGAGATTTAGGCAGTCTTGTTCACAAGATAAGGTCATAAGTGCTTATGTGCTGTCTTTCGTGCTGTTTGAACTAAAGATCTTGAGGTAAACTAGGTCTCCCCTGCTAGCCATTGTATTTGCCAACACCCAGTACTCCTGGAGCAAACCTTTGGGTGGTATGCATGGGGCTTCACGCTCCTTCGCCTGGCTTGTGACACAGCTTCTAGCAAGTTAGTTTCTGCTGCCATTTGCAAGGATGTGAGTACCTGAGCAATAGGTGAGGCTTTCAGTCCTAGAAACGTCAGACACTTAAAGCAGTTTAAGTCACCCTGACTTCTTTAGGCAGAGGCCTTTCTCTGTAGCAGCTGTGTCTGCCACCCAGAGCCTAAGGAATGGTGTTCAATGTAGACAGATTCTCTGCTCAGAGAGGTGTCCAAATGCCACACAATGAAAGGGCAGCATTGTTTCTTCTACTCTGCCACTTCTTGGCAGATCCTAAGCTGGGCAAAGTGACCAGCAAGGTGGGTTGGGCAGGTGAGGGGGTGTGCCCTGGGACACATGTACTCTCGCTGCCCCCCAGCACCTGGTCTTCATCCTGCCATCTGAGGTTTCCCTTTTCCCTGCTTGCTCTTCATGGGGTGCTTTTCTCACCAGGTACCACTTTAGTGACTTCAGGTGTGAGGCAGCCAATTTCATGCTGCTTTCACCGGTAGAGGGATAGCCAGTTTAGTAGATGCCAGGAGGTGACGTGGCTGGCCTGTCACAACTAAACTGGAAGGCTGTGTATTAGAATAGTCCCAAGGCTGCCTGTGTCACCCTTCAGCCCCAGTAACTGCTCATCCAATCAGGAGGAAGGCCCACCACCCAGCCACTGCCCTATTCCACAGCCGGCTGATAGTCTTGTGGTTCGCTGCCAAGTGAATGCAGTTGTATGGTGGGCAAGGATGGCTGCCTGTCCCGTTGAGGGACCTGAGGAAAGGATGAATCCCTGAAATGAACAAATCATCCATAAACCACCATCCTGGGACTTAAAAGACCAGCTCTGGCTTCGTCTGTTCTGTGACCTCTCTTTGGCGGAGTTGGGCCCTAGAAAGGAGAAGTGGGATGCGGACAACTGCATCCACCCTGAAAACCAGATCATGTTACTAATGGTGGGTAGGAGTTAAGTAGCTCAGCTGTGAACAGGAGAAGCTGGGACCTCCACACAACAGAGCAGGAGGAGTCTGCAGAAGCGTGGACAGGGTGAAATAGGGCAGTGGGCCTGCTCTGAGAATCAGGGCCCTGGATCAACAGCTGACAGTCCAAGTCAGCACCCTCAGTGTGCTGCCCAGAATTAAACACCCAGGAGCTTTTCATTTGAGGGGAAGAGTAATAAATTGTGCCTTCATTTTGCAGTGAGTGAGACATTCAGGGCAGGAAAGATATAGTGCCCTTGTTTGTTTGCTTTTTGTTTTGTTTTTGCCCTAATTTCCTATAGTTCTCAGCTTGAGCTTCCAGGCTGTTTTACTACATATCCTTAAGTACCAGTTACAGGCTGTCTTTGGAAACCAGCTGGCCCTTCTGGAGAAATCTGGGTAGAACAGGACGCCTTGACTCAGGAGCCTAGAACCAGACAATGTGTTCTGTAAGCCAATGTGTAGTCAGCACGTGGGAACAGAAATGCCTTTAACCTTGGAGGTTTTGAGGATTGCTTTGAACCTCTTGTCCCCATGGTGAAAGATAAGGAACTGCTATCCAGGAGCCCTGAAAGGTAGACAGTTGAGTCCAGTATGAAATATAGGTTCATCTAGGCCATCCAGAAATTGTAGATGAGTGATGCTCCTATTTAACGTGGTTCATTTAATGTCTTCATGTGCTTAACACAGATATTCCCTGGCACCCCAAAGTATTCAGTAGGAGGGGGAAGAGATGATGAAACCATTCTCTGAAAACTGGATCTTAGCCTGTGCCCTGTGGTTCCAACACCTCTGCCTAAGGAATCTAGTACTTTCTACCTCTTGTTTGGTGTCTCTTTGGGATCCCATCTAGTCCAGGAGTATGGGGTGGGAGAAGAGGGCAGCCGGAAACTGGCTTTTACATTTCTCTCTCCTTTCGAAGGGGGAAGACGTTTTCATCCCGCTAACTCCTGGGAATAGGAGGAGGAAGCGGCTGGCAACTGAAGGCTGGAACACTTGCTACTGGATAATCGTAGCTTTTAATGTTGCACCTCTTCAGGTTCTTAAGGGATTCTCCATTTTGGTTCCATTTTGTACACGTTTGGAAAATAATCTGCAGAAACGAGCTGTGCTTGCAAGGACTTCATAGTTCCCAAGAATTAAAAAAAAAAAAAGAATTCCACTTGATCAACTTAATTCCTTTTCTTTATCTTCCCTCCCTCACTCCCCTTCCCTCCCACCCTCTTTTCCAGGCTGTTTCGCTTTGCAGTATGTTACTGGTAATGAGTTGCAGGATAATGAAATCTTAACTTGTTTTCTCCTAAGTATTTGAGTTCAAAACTCCTGTATCTAAAGAAATACGGTTGGGGTCATTAATAAAGAAAATCTTTCTATCTTACATGAGAATTTGCTGGGTTTCTAGACTGTGAGTCCAGAAGAGAGAAGAAAAGGGAGGAAGAATATACCTGCATTGCCCTTGGACCTGCAAACCTGAGCTAGAAAGCCTTAGCTTTGAGAGCCTGTCAGGTCTAGATCCTCAGCCCCTAGAGGAGAGAGTGGCTGGCCAGTGAGCTATAAATAAACTTGAACGTGCTTCCGGTTAAGCTTGGTTCCTGAAACTGCCTGGCTGCTCCTGAGTGGCCAGGAAGCTCCCCAGTGACAGGCAAATTAAAGTGTTTTCTGGTTTATTCCTTTATCATGGATAATGTGTAACATTTCCCAAAATGTGTACCTCCGTGCGTGTGGACCTGCAGGACACTGATGAGTATTTAGGTGTGGATCTGATGTGAACTAACTGGCCACATTTTCTCTCTCTTAAACAGCAGCCCAGAAAACTGGCACTCAGGGAGATGCTCGCCTGAGAAACATGCAGAACCTAGCGGAGCATGCTGTCCCCTAGCAGGACACTGACCTCTGAAATAAAATTTGTTCAGAAAGTGCTCTTGGTAAGGAATTATCAGGAGAATTTTAGGAGCACCTGAACTCCTCTGAGGGCTGTCCTGATGGTTTCTACCTTCCTGCTTTCCCTTTTAATTTGTCTCCATCCAGGGCAGTGTGTGTGTTTCAGTCTGGTTTGATGCCCATTAATGAATTGTGAACTCACCTGACTGTATCACAACCAGCATTTTTATTTCCTAAACGTTTGATTTTGAGATAACTATAGATTTACATACAGTTGTAAGAAATAACACAGGGAGGTCCTGTGTACCCTTCACCTGGTTTCCCCCCGTGGTAACATCTTATATATCTGTAGTACAGTATCACAGTCAGGAAGTTGACATTGGTATAGGCCACCCACGTGCTTCAGATTTTACCAGTTTTACATGCACTCTTTAGTGTGTGTAGTATATTTCTAGGCGTTTTTTATCATATATGTAGTTTTGTGTGGCACCAGCATTTTTAAGAAATGGAATAGGCCGGGCGTGGTGGCTCACACCTGTAATCCTAGCACTCGGGGAGGCCGAGGCGGGAGGATTGCCTGAGCTCAGGAGTTCGAGACCAGCCTGAGCAAGAGCGAGACCCCGTCTCTACTATAAATAGAAAGAAATTAGCCAAACAACCAAAAATAGAAAAAATTAGCCGGGCACGGTGGCGCATGCCTGTAGTCCCAGCTACCCGGGAGGCTGAGGCAGGAGGATCGCTTGAGCCCAGGAGTTTGAGGTTGCTGTGAGCTAGGCTGATGCCACGGCACTCTAGCCCAGGCAACAGAGTGAGACTCTGTCTCAAAAAAAAAAGAAAAAAGAAATGGAATAGCATGGACTAGATCAGAGTGCATCACACCTGTGAAGGTAAGTATTGATCTGGAAATCAAAAATCGTGTGTTTTTGTTACACACATCATGACTGGATTGTAAAAATGTCCTTTTACTGTGAGTCACTGGAGAAGATTGTAAGCCACAGGTCATTCAGTCATCAGACTTCATTGTACTTAACTGAAATGGGCTCCTAGAGAGCTGGGGGTGCTCTGATTTCTAGTTGGCTATTATTGGGGTACCCCTGGTCACCTACTTCTGGTAGATGGAAAACCTGGCTAAGTTATTTGAGGGTAATTTTGACTAGAACCAGTTTTCACTTTTTTTTAAGAGACAGAGTCTTGCTTGTTGCCCAGGTGGGACGCAAACTCCTGTGCTCAAGCAATCCTCCTGCCTTAGCCTCCAGAGTACCTGGAACTACAGGGCCACACCACCGCACTTGGCTGTTTTGCTTTTTTGCTGACTTTAGAACATAACTCTAATATATGCTGAGGGCCAGGCTCAGTGGCTCTTGCCTGTAATACAAGCACACTGGGAGGCTGAGGCAGGAGGATCATTTGAGATCAGGAGTTCAAGACCAGCCTGAGCAAGAGCAAGACCCTGTCTCTATTAAAAAAAAAAGATATGTTGGAACTCACTGTACTCTCTTGCCAATAGTGGGAATCAGATTTCTGTAAAGTACTGTAGATGGCAAAACCAAAGTCACTTAGAAAATATGGAGTTAGGAGAGAAACAAAAAGACAGTAAATATTTTTTTACAGGAATAAATCCTAAGGAAGCTTCTAATTCCAAGACATTTTGTCAGCATTAAAAATCCATGCTAGGCCAGGCTCGGTGGCTCACGCCTACAATCCTAGCACTTTGGGTGGCTGAGGTGGAAAGATCACTTGAGTTTGAGACCAGCCTGAGCAACATAGCAGAACCCTGTCTCTGCAAAAGAATCTTAAAAATTAGCCAAGTGTGGTGGTGTGCACCTGTAGTCCCAGCTACTCAGGAGGCTGAAGCAGGGTTGCTTGAGCCTGGGAGCTCAAGGCTGCAGTGAGCTATGGTCACACCACTGCACTCTAGCCCAGGTGACAGAGTGAGACCCTATCTCCAAAAAAAAAATAAAACATGCTGGGTAAACCCCTATCCAGATTCGCTTCTTTCTCTTCCCCTGTTTCCAAGACACAGTTAGCATTAGAATGGATCTGGTCTCAAAGACACTCCTTGTGAGCCCCCGAGGTCCACTATAGCTCCATTCAGGTCCTGATGAGGGTGGGGCATGCTAAGGGCGTGGCAGGTCTAGTCCCCAGGGCTGCTGACTGGCTCACCTGCCCCAAGGGCCTACACCTGGGAGGTGTAGGTGTCCTTGGATTTGAGCTGGAGAGGAACAAAACAGTGTTTTAGAGATGGTTCAGTTAGAATCCAGGTTCTACCACTTAAGAGCTGTGTGATGGCAATTTTTTTTTTTATTTGGCAGAGTCTTGCTCTGTCACTCAGGCGAGTGCAGTGGCGTCATCATAGCTCACTGCAACCTCAAACTCCTGGGTTCAAGCAATCCTCCTGCCTCAGCCTTCTGAGTAGCTAGGACTGCAGGTGTGCGCTGACCACACCCAGCTAAGCAAATTTCTTAATCTGAGCCCTCACGGTCTCACCTTTAACTGGACATACCACCACCTTCCTCACAGGGTTTTTAAAAGGAAAAGAGTAGGTGAATGCCTGTCACATCATATGTATTATAATGCCTATAATTATTTATAATGCCATTTAATAAATCCTCGTTCCCTTTATACACTTGAGAGGATCAGAAGTGACAGGGCTGCTGCAGAAGCAAGGTCCAACGTAAGCCAAGCCTCATTTTGTTCTTGGGGTTTCCCAGGCCTTCCCTAAGATGGTTGGTATTTTGTATTTCCCCCCTCTTGGATGGCCCTTTCTGTGGGGGGCAGGTGGCGGGAATCTCCATGTCTGGATAAACTGGGACCTGGGCAAGCTAAGAACAAGGAGCTTGGCAGGCAGGAAGTGGAAGGATGGGGTCAGGGTCGGGGGTTGAAACCAAAAAAAGGAAATGGCCCCAGCTGCTGCATCAGCCTTCTCACAGGAGCTGGTACTTGGAGTTGCCATTCGGGTCCTCCATTCTCCTTGGGAGTAGTGCTGATGGGCCCTTGACCCAACAGCTACTGAGGCCTAAGCCAGGAGCCTGGGTCTACTGCTCTGGTGGTGATTTGGGGCTCAAGCAGTGCTGCCCCCTTCTGGGGATTGCTAAAAAGCACTGCGATTTCCGTGGCTCCCAGGGTCAGCATCTGACCCAGACAGCCATCCCAGACCTGAAGAATCTGGCGGTTTAAACCTAACAGGAAGACAAGGTTTCTTCTGCCCATACAGATGACTCGGGGCTTCCCGAAACCAGGTTTGTGTCCAGAGCCCTTCAGAGGCTCTCAAGGGTTCATCTGCTCCTGCCTGTGGGGAATGGAGAGGACTGAACAGTGGTGCAGGGAGGCTAACCAGGGTCCAGGAAGCCCTGCCTCCACCAGTCCAGGGCTAGGAGCCCTTGCGAATCGCACCCACCCAGCCCCAAACATGCTGGGTCAGCAGAGAGAAATTCGAGTGCCTATGAGAATGGAAGTGGACAGAGGAGGCCCAGGAGGATCCCGTGCCAGTCTGGACTGGCCACCCTGAAACAGACTCTACCTCAGAAAGAACTGAGTCCGGGCTGCAGAGTCAGCTAGACGGAGCATCTGAAAACTGCATCTCCGTGGGCGAAGGGGAGAAGCCAGGGGATGAGTCAGCCCCAAGCCTTGACGAAGGAGCAGAGAGGAGCTAGATGATCTGGTAAGGAGGAAACAGGGCCGAACGGGGAGCAGAACTGCCCTCGGCCTGAGTTGTCCCCCCTCGCACGTCTTCCACACACTGTTTAGACAGAGCAGCGAAGAAGAAACACAGACATCCTGGATCCTGCAGGGAGGAGGTCAGGGCTGGGAACGAGAAGGTCTGTTTATTCCTGGCAGTCCCATATCCGAGGGGCCCACACCCACTTGTGTCCATACCCCAGGCTGAACTCTCCCAGAGCCTTTGACTTCTGCCCAAGCAGACAGTGCGAGTCCTGGGCCCAGGTGCTGGAACCCCGGCGGCATCCTGCCCACCAGCTCCCCGGAGGCGGGTTTGAGGGCTAGACGCTTTCCTCTTCCCACTTTCTGTCCCGGTGGGAGTCCCACCTCTCCAGGCCCCCTGACTGGCTGCGCAGGGCTGGCAGAGCCAGACTTCTCAGGCATGCAGCCCTTCAGGCCCAGTCTCCCCAGAGAATACTGAAGTCGCCTTGCTGGTCATCTGGTGCTCTTCAGCCAGGAAGTTTTTCCTAATGTCTCACCCCGGCTTTCTTGCTACAGTGTCTGCCTGTTCCCTCCCATTTCCGGCCTTAAGGGAGTGTGGCCAGGCTTCTCTCCTCCCCCTCACCCCAAAGCTGCACTTGATACAAAGTGGAAATCAGAGCCCCACACCTCTTGGCTTCCTGTCCTTGAACTTGCCCTTCCCTTTCGCTGTACCTACTTTTCTCACTTTCCCTGAGGAGCAAAAGTATCATTCCCGTCATGCTTTTCATAGGCCCCCTATCTGCCTTCCTCAACACAGGTATTTCTTAGAGGGGACAGGTGCAGAAAAAGGCAGAAATCCTAATGCTGTTAATAATAGCTGTCTGTCACTGAGCGCTTGTGTGCCAAGTGCTGCATGCCAGGTCCTTGTCACACGTTACCTTGTTTAGTCTCACAATAGGTAAGTACAATTATGAGTCCCATTTTGCAGATGAGGAAACTAAGGCAAGAGAACTTCAGTAATAGGATCCCGGACAGCTCTGCTTCCAACACTGGCTCATGCCTCTTAATCATCAAGGAGGAGAAGGAGAGACGACCCCTCATCGAGTGCCAAGCCCTGGGGTGTACGCAGTTACACGTTAGCCCATGGCATTCCCCACAACAACCTTAAGAGGTGGTTTTTCTTGTTCCCATTTTACGTAGGGGAAACTGAGGGCCAGCAGTAACTTGCCCAAGGTCACATTTGTACCTCACGGCCCAGAACTTAAAAAGTAATAGTTAAGGAAAGTGTGGAATGCCCAGATTCGGGAAGGCAAGGCTGGACTTGTAAGCTGAAAGGCCCATCAGGTGATGGGATGGGGCCAGTGAAGACCCTCAGGCCCCAAACCCCCACCACCGCCATCATCGCACGCACCACCTGTAGCTGCTGTCATCAGGCACACAACCTGTAGCAGGCGGCAGAAGTGTGGAGCTGGCAGCTCCCACGGTTTAAGGCTTATGAATGTAAATGTATTAGCTGAAGCAGCAAGTGGGGAAGGGTAGACTAAGTCATTATTCATGAACCGGAATGCATTTGTCAGATTAGCTGGGCACTAGCGGGTGAGAGGGCTCCAAGCTGAGGTAGGGGAGCCACCACCTAGGTGGCAAGGTGTGTCCAGTTGGATAGGGGTGGGAGGGTGGGGGCAGGAGGCACTCATACAGAAGGATATGTGGGGGCAAGGGGTTGCTGCAGCTCAGGATGTGCCAGGTCCCACCCCCAGAGGCGGGGCCAGGACCCAGCCCTGGCTGCCGCTGCTCCATCCCTCCGGGAACCCAGGCAGGGGGCAGAGTCTGGGCAGGCAAGCCCCGCCCAGACCGCTGTTCCCACAGAGCAGAGACACCATTCACTGGCCAGCCAGGACACCAGACACGGTCCGAAGCCCTGCAGGGATGGCTACAGCAACTCCTGGCCACTGAGGAAAGCCCAGGCTGGAGGCTGGGCAGGCAACACCTGTCCCCAACAGCCATGTGAGTAGCTACCCCACATCCTGCTGAGCCACACCTCAAGACCTCAGCCCCAGATTCGGGAGAGGCCACTGCACCCAGTCCAAGCCACCAAGCCCCTCCGGAGTGTGAGGGTAGCACAGCCAGCATCCCGCTGAGAAATCACACCAGCAGGCTTCTCCCTGCCTTACTGCCCTGGTGGAGGCAGGGTGGAGAGAACCACACCAGGCTAGAGCTAGGATCTCCAGCTCAGGCCAGGTTTGGGGTAACAGACCCTGAATCTCATGGGGTTTAATAAAGATTATGGTGCAAGGAGGAAGGGGAACAGAAACTGAGGGCCTTTGGAAAGGAAAAGATGTCCTGGGTGGACAGCACAGAGAACATTAAGGAAGAGGAACCAGGGGCTGAGGTCAGGGGAAAGGGACCCAGGGGTGCAGGGGCTTGGAGGCCGGGGCTACAACACTGGGGAACCTGAGAATGGAGGGGAGCATCTTCCTCTCCGCTCAGGGTGGCCGTGGGGCCCTGATTCTCTGACCTGGAGAGGGTGAGGAGTAGGAATCCTTTCCTTATTGACTTTAATCCTAGCAACAGCAGCTGCGCCCCTGCTGACAGAAGCAGGAGCTCCCACAGGACCCAGGACCCCTCCCCCTGTCCCCAGGATGGGGCTGGCGAGGCCGTGGCACTGGAGGACTGAGACCAAGGAGTGAAGTGAACGGGAGGACAGGGACAGATCAGAGCCACAGAGAGGCCAGGCCCTGCCCACTGGCTCCTCCCTGTCCTCTGGACTCGGCTTCAGGCTCTGGGGGTGTTGAGGGTCGTCTCCTTGATGCTGGCATCTCCACATTCACTGCCAAGCGTCCCCTCCCCTTCCCCTCTCCTCCCTCCAGTTCCCAGGAAGGGCCCTGTTGCTAGTGTGGAGCGGACGAGTCAAGTTTATGGGCTGGAAGTCCTACCCGGAGGCTGCTCACTGAACCGTAATGGGCTACAAGGACAGATGGGGGGAGGAGTGTAGGCGACAGGGCACCCCGGTTGTGCCCCAGACCTGGCCCAAAGGAACCTCTCGCCTGATGGTTGGCTAGAAGACCACCACACACTGGCCGGACTTGTCCTCTCTTTTGGTTTATGTAGAGGCCACCCAGGTGGAGGCCGGGATGCACAGCTCCTCTCTGCTGCAC